TTTTTTCGACCCCCCCCCACCAAAAAACAGTGTAGATGAGGTTTTTTGCATGAAAACCTCCTTTTTTGAAAGAACCCTTATTCCTCAAACATGAGGTTTACAGGGTTCTTTCGAAAAAGGGGGTTTTCACACAAAAACTCCCATCTAGATTCCTTTTTTTTTTAACTCCTCTGAAAAAGAGATCAGAAGAAGATATGCAAATTTTTCGACCCCCCCCCACCAAAAAACAGTGTAGATGAGGTTTTTTGCATGAAAACCTCCTTTTTTGAAAGAACCCTTATTCCTCAAACATGAGGTTTACAGGGTTCTTTCGAAAAAGGGGGTTTTCACACAAAAACTCCCATCTAGATTCCTTTTTTTTTTAACTCCTCTGAAAAAGAGATCAGAAGAAGATATGCAAATTCATGACTAATTTGCACATCTTCTTTCAGAAGCCACAGGTAGTCTAGAAGTAGCCTACATGGGTCCAAATTTCAGAAACTCCTCCTCTTCTTCCTCAGAGGATTACAGGGATGGAGAAGAACGCATCCGCTTTTTCAGAAATTGTTCCTTGGACGCAGCATAGCTTTTCCAGAATACCTCCAGGCTACGTCTACACTGGCCCCTTTTCCGGAAGGGGCATGTAAATTTCACCAGTCGTAGTAGGGAAATGCGCGGGGGATTTAAATATCCCCCGCGGCATTTAAATAAAAATGTCCGCCGCTTTTTTCCGGCTTTTAAAAAAGCCGGAAAAGAGCGTCTACACTGGCCCCGATCCTCCGGAAAAAGTGCCCTTTTCCGGAGGGTCTTATTCCTACTTCAAAGTGTAGGAATAAGACCTACTTATTCCTTCAAAGTAGGAATAAGACCCTCCGGAAAAGGGCACTTTTTCCGGAGGATCGGGGCCAGTGTAGACGCTCTTTTCCGGCTTTTTTAAAAGCCGGAAAAAAGCGGCGGACATTTTTATTTAAATGCCGCGGGGGATATTTAAATCCCCCGCGCATTTCCCTACTACGACTGGTGAAATTTACATGCCCCTTCCGGAAAAGGGGCCAGTGTAGACGTAGCCCCAGTGTCCCAGAATAGCCCTGCAGTCTAGACTTAGCCTGGGTGTGGCTGGAAAATAAACAAACATGATCCAGGGAGCAGAGCCAGGCCAGATGACATCCTCTGGCAAGGAGTTCCACCGGTTGCCAGTGTGGTGCATGATCTTTTCAATCGCATCGTTGGGATTTAGATCAAAACCTTATTGCTAAAGAGAATGAATTGTGAAAGTGAAAGAGAACAGAGATGTTTCTTAGCTGCGGGGTGAGGAAAGCTTTTGTTTCCTGTGTTAATGTTTGCAGCTGAAGCAGTTGCAGCTATTGTATTTGCAGCTTGGGTCAGCAGCCTGCCAGGGCACCACATCTACTCCTGAAGGCAGGTATAGTAACCTCTTTCTAGTCTTACTCTTCATTAACCTCATTGCAGGTTCTTGTGTTGCCTTCACCCCTAGGCAGGCGGTCAGACTGTGCTTTGGCTCATGATAGAGATCTGCTCTGGGGACTAAAACTTTCATCTTGCAATGCTTGTCCAGATCAATGTGAATGATGACCCAGTCCTCCAAATCATTTGCAATCCCTCCCCCCTTGGTATCATCTGCAAACTCAATAAGCATACTCTCTATGGGTACGTCTATACTGCATCCCTAGTTCGGACTAGGGATGCAAATGGAGACGACCGAAGTAATTAATGAAGCAGGGATTTAAATATCCCGCCCTTCATTAACATGATCTCACCGGTGCGCTAGTTTGAATCCCTGCCGATTCGAACCAGGAAGTGCGCTCCAGGACATGTTAGTTCGGACTAAAGCCCTTAGTACGAACTAACGTTGCCTCTTTTTTCTGAGAAGTAACGTTAGTTTGGACTAAGGGCTTTTTAGTCTGAACTAACGCGTCCCGGTGCGCACTTCCTGGTTCGAATTGGCAGGGACTCGAACTAGTGCACCGGCAAGATCATGTTAATGAAGGGCAGGATATTTAAATCCCCGCTTCATTAATTACTTCGGTCGTCTCCATTTGCATCCGTAGTCCGAACTAGGGATGCAATGTAGACGTACCCTATGCCAATATCTAAATCATTGATGAAGATATTGAACAGAACCGGTCCCAAAACAAACCCCTGCGGAAGCCCACTTGTTATGCTCTTCCAGCATGACTGTGAGCCATTAATAACTACTCTCTACTCAGCCAGCTATGTACCCCCTTATAGTAGCCCCATCCAAATTGTATTTGCCTAGTTTATTGGTAAAAAAACCATGTGAGACCGGGTCAAATGCCTGACTAAAATCTAGGCTTGCCACATCTACCACTTCTCCCTTATCCACAGGAGTGTCAGCCTCGGCTCTTTCCTGCCCCCCAGCTCCTGGCCCAGGCTGCACCAGCCCCAGCTCTTCACCCTTCCCAGCCCCCATGCCTGCCCTAGTTCTTTCCCCTCCCTGACTCCAGGGCCAGGTTGCTCCAGTCCTGCTCTTCCCCACACCCCCCAGCCCAGTAGTGGGCAAGGGGGAAGAGCTGGTGCCCAGAGCTCCACGGTTCCCAGCCCCCACCTTCCACTTCCACTCCTACCCCCACCTCCATCCTCCATTCCTACACCCCCATCCCTACAACCACTCCTTCCCCTTCCCACCCTGCCAATCCCTCTCCTTCCATCCCTATCACCCCGCCTCCATTCCTACACCTACTCCTCTTCCTCCCCACACTGCCTATACCTACCCTTCCTCCATTCCTACACCCCATCCTTCCCTAACCCCTCCTCTTCCATCCCCACACTGCCTACCCCCTGCCTCCATTCCTATCTACCCCTCTCCCACCATCCCCCTTTACTGCACCACCCATCCCCACATACCCCCCACCCACTCTACAAACAGGCAAACTAACCAGAAAGGAAACAGCACCAGTGGGTTGGCAGCTAGATGCCTGGCCAGGTTGAGAAAGGGGCATGGGAGTCTATGAGGGGGCAACGGAGGGGCTGAGGACATGGAGGATGGACGGAGAGAGGGGGGGCCATGCAATTGGGGATGGCGGGGTGTTTCTGGGCACCATCTTTCAGAGGTAGAGTTGCCAGAAGGTTTCAACAGAAATACCGCACACGCTTGACATGACATCACAATCTGCATTCCATCTTATTGAGACAATCCTGGACAGTTCTGTTTTCTCATTGATATTTTCTCAATTTGTTTCCCAAACAGAAAGCTCAAATACTGGACTATCCCTGGCTACCCCGCCCCCTGCTCTGCTGGGTTGGCAGCCACTCAGAACGCTGTTCCAGCAAGTGGGCAGGGAGCAAAGTTTTCCCCGCCCCCACGAGGAGGGGAGACCTCACAGTTCCTGAGTGGCTCAGCAGATCACAGGGACACAAGCAGGACACTGTTTAGTTTTGCGATGTTCCCCCCCCCAAATCTCCACTGACTTTCCTGGTGGATTCTCCCAGAGCTGCATGGGGGGAATTGGAACCACCATGAGGTCTCTGCTGATCCCCTTCACATACTTCTGCCTGCAAACCTGGCTGGGAACCGCCCAGGTAAGTGCCTGAGCCTTGCCAGGGAAGCTCTCTGGGTTTTCTTTGCTCAAGGCTGTGTTGGGTGCCAGGTTGCCTTAGACCCACCAACGTGCAGGGCTGGAAGGGACCTCGCGAGGTCGTCTGGTGCAGCCCTCTGGGCTGAGGCAGGGCCTAGCTCACTGAGACCAGCTTTGATGGATTTTGTCTAATCAGGGCCCCTCGTCACCGTCCCCAGTGCCTGGTCGGGGGACGCAGCCTCTCACTGGACTGGGCGCCAGGGCACGGCTCCATCAGACTCCTTGCTGCTGCCTTCCTGGACATCTTCCTACCACAGCCTGTTCCCTGCCTGTCTCCCCTCAGCCTCTGCAGCCTCAGCCTTCTGTCAGGGCTGGACCCGCAGGGCTTCCCCCGACCCCCCAGCGTGATCCCACAGGAACAGAACAATTTCTGTAAACCAAGCTCTGCCCCGCTCAGGTTCCCTCCTCACCCTGCAGGAGCCTTCCTGTTCTCCTCAGGTCTCTGAACGTTTTACTGCCCAGGGAGGGACTGCAGACGTCTCCCTGTCTCCCCTCCGCCCCCCACGCTCCACTACAAAGGCCTCTTGGGCTGTCCCATCACTGGCGCCGTATCAAAGTCGCAGTCCACTGTGGTGAGTGTGAGAGGGTCCTGTCCCCTCCCTGGGGCTCCCTGTCCCCTTTTCTTTGTTTTAGTCCATTACACCCACGCTTGGGCTGTGTCCAAAGTGTTTATTATTCACAACCCCCAGTCCCACTCAGACTTCACTGAGGCCCTAGCACCTCTCGGAGCACTCCTCACCTTCCCAACATGGGGTGGGGATTAGGGGGACCCGGGCCTGCCCTCACCTCTGGGTCCCAGCCCAGGGCCCTAGGGAGGGGGAGATCTCTTTCTCTCCACCTCCTGTGGTCAGTGTGGATTCCGCCCAAAACGCACTGACCCACAGGCTTAAAACCCTGCCTTGGGCTTCTTCCTACTCACCCCGTCTCACTCCGGGGCTAACGCATTATAACTCGACCGCGTCCCGCTCTGGACTCTTTTCCCCGGAGGCGTTCGGCCCACTGGAACCCGGACACTCCCCAAGCTCCCTTCCTTCCCCCTCCCCATCTGGAGGTTGGCCCATTTTAAATCCCACACCCTCGGGGTTGCCCCACTCCAGGGTGCATCCCCGCCGGTAACTCCGCCCCCCCCCCC